TGCTAGCAGGGACGGATTCTTCCTACCTTCAGAAAGAAGGATGAGCTCATCTCACAGACTGGAACTTTCTGCAATGACCACAACACTCTACCTCTGTCCTGGGGGAGGGGACAGTCACTATGCCAGAGGTGGCTTCTTAGCACATGGAATGTGGCAAGGGTCATATTTCTAATGTGACCAACTTTAACTCCCTGAAATTTCAACAGCCACATGTGATTAATAGTCTCCTATTGGACAGTGAAGTCATAAACCTTCATGGAAATAATAATATAAAATGCCACATATATCTTTAGTAAGAGATCTTAAAAATTATCAACCAGAACGTGCATCCCCTTGGTACCACTGAGTGGCAAATGAGCGAGAGTGGTTGTAATTACCAGTAGGTGGTGATGGCCTTGTGTACATCTTTGCAGTGTCTACACTGGGGGCCAAGGTGACCTTGGGAAATTGAGGAGGGGAATGGCGCCCTCAACCAGATGTGAACTCCAAGTCCTTCGGCAGCACCTCCTCTTCTGTGACTTTGTTCACTCCATCCCTTTCTTATAGCAGCTTTTTGAGAACTACATCATCCCAATAATTTCAGCCTTTCCAATTCATCCTGGAAACCATCGCTGAATCTTCATTCCTGCTTCATCGTGTTCTCTCTGGCTTTCCAATCCAGTTACAGTTGGAACCGATACGCCACAGTTGGCTAGCAAGTGCTTCTCTCATTATTTCGTAAGTTTTAGCTTGCTCTCAAAAACTAAATCACAGAGCTGGGGTGTGGCTCAAGTGGTAGGGTGCCTGTGTGGGGCTTGAACCAAGCCCCTCCCCCAAGGACTGCAAAAACAAAGCTAAACCATAAACTCAAGGGCAGAAAACATGTCTATGCCTTCTACAGACTTGGAATTTGAACATAGTATTAGCACACAGTAGGTTCTCTGCCACATTGTAGGTGTTCCACCACATAGTAGGTGCTCCACAGAGTTATAGTTGACAGAGACAGGTGTTATTTTGTCTCTTTCCCCGCTCTGTACTGTGTGTGCACTCCACCTTTCCCTCAGGTTAATGCACAGCTGCACGCTTGTATCTGGATGCAATCCTGAGGCCATGATACCCCTGCTCTGCTTGGCGTATTAAATTTACAGTAAAGTCAAAGACAGATGGCAAAAAGGAAACCTTAATAGTCCCCGATATTATTAAATCTTCTTGTTGGAGGGCTCTAAGAGCTTCAGAATATTTTCCTTGAGTCCTCGTGGATTACCTGTTCCATCAATGGAGTTATAGACCTGGTCGGAGAAGCAGTTCTGTGCAATCATTTACTGGAGGGGAAATCGTTAGCATCCTCCTTCAGAGGCTCCCAAGCAATAAGCTTGCTATCCTGTCCTCGTGCCAGGAGAGCTGCGTAGGTTTGATGAATAGCCCCATTTGGCCCAACTGCAGCTCTAAACAGATGTCTGTAAATACCACAGGAAAGGGCCCTCAGAAAGTGCTTGTGGATGCTTATGTTGGCAAACAAGCGGTAACCAGCTGTCTCCCTTCCAAAGAAGATCCACCTGATGAAGGAATCATTACTCCTCTGTTTTGCCGGGGACTGCGTTAACTAGCTTGGCTTCTTGAAACTCATCTCAGTAGCTCCTCAGCGAGTGGACTGGGCTTGTCTACCCACGAGACATCGTGTTTACTGCCACTGCGGGTAGCAGGCGGGTGCTATGGCCTCTAGTGAGCAGAGGTCAAAGATGGTACAAGCTCTCCCACAATGCACCTTACTCCCAGCCAATAATTATCCAGACCAAAGCTGGGTGCCCATGGCTCACACCTGTACTCCTAGCTACTCAGGAGGCTGAGATCTAAGGATCACAGTCTGAAGCCAGCCTGGGCATTTGGAAGTCCATGAGACTTACCTCTGATTAACCATCAAAAGCTGGAAGTGGAGACATGGCTTAAGGGGTAGAGCACCAGCCAGGAGCAAAAAAGCTCAAGAGAGTACAGTGCAGCACTGTGTGGAGATGGAGGGAAGCCTGTGGACTAGAGACCAGGTCCCAGAATCCTGTGCCTCAGGACAGTAAAGGCTTGTTTGCTGCTGCGGCGTGCTGCCTGGCTCCTCTTGCTCAGTACCCTTGGTCAACCGAGTCCTGTCGCCAGCCCTGAGCAGTGAGGGTGAGTCCTCTGCTGCCTTCTTCACACCGACATGGAGAGAGAGCTGCCCACCGGGAAGTTCCCATCTGCACTGCTGTTCCCATTCCTTAGCTGGCTGAGGTCTCTTGAATGCCAGGCTCCACAAGCAGCCAGGACCCGGCCTAGCCCCCCCCCCGCCTCTTTCCTGGTCGATAATGCCCTTGGAGCCATGACCTTGGCCTTTAAGAAGCCTCCCAAGGTAGTTGGAGAACACGCCAAAGTCACTGAGATGGCTCTATTTCCCTCCCTTTGCCTCTTGAGTCTTCCTGCCTGAAATGCCCCGACTTCCGCTATTCTGGCTCCTGCATATCCCCGCTCAAAGGACCTTACTCCCAGAAGGCTTCCTCTTCCTCTTTCTTCTTCTCTGTTTCGGTGGTAATAGGGCCTCGGCGCTTGCCAGTCAGGTGCTTTACCACTTGAACCATGCCCATAGCCCTTTGTGCTTTTGCTACTTGTCAGGTGGGGGTCCTGTGTTTGGCCTCAGTTATCATCCTCCTAGCTATACCGTCCACGTAGCTGGGACTACAGGCATGTATCAGCATAGCCAGCTGGTTCTTCAAGATTAAGATCTTGTGAACTTTTTGCCAGGGCTAGCCTTGAGCTGTGATTCTACTCTCTCTACATCCCAAGCAGCTGCGACTACAGGTGTGAGCCACAGCACTCAGCCACGCCTTCCTTCTTTAGAGTCACTCCAGCAGGTATTCTCAAGGAGCATTCTCTGCCCCAGAGCAGAAAAAAGTGGTCCGTGGTGAAGGAAAAGTAATCTATTTTTTTAAGCATATAAAGTACAGGTACACATACAGAATGTAAGCACACACACACATACAGTAGATTCAAATTTCAGTCCTCACTTAAACGCTACTAGATTTGTTGGGGTGCCTCAGGACATGGCATTTAAGCATAAGTTCCTTCTCTTCCTCACAAATGAGTTAATCTTAAGAGATGATTCCCAGCTTCCTCTCCCCATTGGCCAATGAGAACTCCATATAGCCCAGCTCCACCCCATTCTATCCTACTGAGATGCCACTGGGAATAACATATGGATGTCTGACTCATTAAATTAAAAAGATTTTCATCTTGGCAATTACAGCAGAAAGCATATATTATTGCCTAATTTAATTGAACAAGAAATAGAATCACAGAAAAAAAGAAATAGAATCATAGGGAGCACTGTCAATAGGGGGAAAAAAGGACTGGCAGGAAACAAGGAGAAAGTTAACTACATTAGCTTTCTCTGGGACGTGGTCATGCGTTTATTTCCCCTTAAGTTCTTCATTAGTTTAGGAATTTCCTGTAATGAGCACGTATTTATTTTCTATTTTATTCATTTTGGAGTTGGTACCAGGCTTCAAACTCAGAGCCTTGTTCTATTGGCTCACCACTGGCACTCTACCTAACCTGAGCCACACCTCAAGTCTGACATTTTGCTGGTTAGTTGGAGATAAAAGAGTCTTATACATTTGTCTGCTTGGGCTAACTTTGAACCATGGTCCTCAGATCTCACCCTCCTTTCTAGCTAGGACTGTAAGTGTGAGCCACTGGTACCTGGCTGAGCATACGTTTATTTATTAGTTATTTATTTCTGCTGGTCCTGGGGCTTGAACTCAGGATCTGGGCTCTATCCCTGAGCTTTTGTGCTCAAGGCTAGCCCTCTACCACTTGAGCCACAACTTCACTTCTGGCTTTTTTTGATGATTAGTTGGAAATAGTGTCTTCCTGTCCTGGCTTTGAACTCGAACCCTCAGATCTCAGCCTCCTTGAGTATGAACCACCAATGCTGGCTGTATATATTTTATCACAATCTGTGTGTGTGTGTCTTTTTTTTCTTTTAATGCTACAATATTAGACAGACATAGAGAGGTACACTTTGAGCCCACAAATCCAGGGCTGACTGTATTTGATTATGAAAAACAGAAGACTTCTATGGGGTATTTATATTTAAGTAAAAAGACGTTTGGGGGTATTCAGAGAAGCCATTCAGTTTGGGCCAGCTTAGTCCATCAGGCATACAGCAAAAGCTCCCTCCGGAAGCACACCCTATTCCGTCTCACAGAAGCTAGTATTTGCTGCAGTTTTTAAAGATACTTGTGATGCCCTGAAGTCCAGAAAATACATGTGCCAAAAAGCACCTCCCCCATGAAGAGGCAAAAACAGATGAGCCCAAACACATCCCATGTGTTGAGATATTGAAAGTATTTCCTGGGAACTTCCAGATCTAGGAAGACTTCTTAGCGAGATGTCTGTCCCTCAGAGCTGCAGATGCATCCTCCATCCAGGCTGACAAGAGGCCACCCCAGGCTCCACCCTCCCTTTGTCCAAAGGGTTTTCTCAACCCTGCCCCCAATCCCACGTCCCAAACAATTCATGATTTAGCACCTTTAAAGGTGATTCTGGGGTTCTCAGTTTTCTCCCAATCCTAGGACTTTCGGCAGATCCAGAACAGAGACTCAATCCAACACCAACCCAACACTTCAGCAAGAATTACCATGCTCAACAAGATGGTGGACAACAGCTGCCAAGGGCTCAGCATGCACATGTCCACCTCTCAGCTCTTGTCCACCCTGACATCCTCAGTCTCTCATAGGCCCCTGAGGTGACCACAGGCATCATGCGTGTACAGGGCTCATAGCACCAATGCTGTGGCAATGTACATGGTTTGAGAATAGTCCTGAACTCCATGAAGATGATTGCTCCATCCACAGCTCCACAGAGTCTGAGGTGACGATTTTTAGGACACTCATTGCAAACCCACAAACCAAGAGAAAAACCAGTTAGTAAAGCTTGCACGTGACTCCCGGGATGGGAGAGAGGAGGTATTTGCGGAGGGACAGCCTCGCTCTTACCTCCTCCAGGGCCCATAAGGAGTCCATCATGGGCTTGATCTTCTTCTGGTTGTAGAGTCCCAGGAGTTTGTCCACCACTCCTCGAATGAGGCCGGCTCGGCCCTGTTTGAAGAGCAGGTTTAAAAGGGAGAAGCCCGCGATGACTTTATTCTCTTCATACAGCTTAATGGGGTTCACCTTCTCCACCTGCCACCACTGGAAGAGAGAGTTGCCTCGTTACAAAGACTCCGCCCAGGGCAAAGATGGGGGTGGTGGCAGCTAGGTTGGATCAGCTCTACAGGAGCCAACTATTTGGTCTCCAGCATCTTATCACAAAGCACAGGGAGGAATGAATAAGGAAGTGATTTGCACTAAATCTGCAGCTCCTCAGTGAATGTTTGTAGAATTCCTATTACCATCGCTGTTCAGCTGTAGCTGAGAGAATTCTAGAGCCAGGAGCCAGTGGCTCATGCTTGTAAAAGCCTAGCCACTCAGGAGGCTAAGATTGGAGGGTTGCCATTCAAAGCCTGCCTAGGCAGGAAAGTCCATCAGACTTTTATTGTCAATAAACCCAGCAAAAAGTGGAGGTGTGGCTCAAGTGGCAGAGTGTCAACCTTGAGTGAAAAAGCTCGGGGACAGTACCTAGGCACTGACACAAGTGTACACAAGCACATGTATGCACACACACACACACACACACACACACACACACACAGAACTATCGTGCTGAAAGGCACGTAATGATATAATGAGTGAGTTAACATATGTAAGGTGCACATGGTGTCTGATGAGTACTGGGCACGCTATAAACACTTGTATTATCTTAATTTGGAAGGAAGACATGTGACTTAGTGCCTAAGTGCTCTAATTTGGAGTGTGACTGCCCCGTGGGGATTAGCTTCACCTGAGCCCATCATCACTGTGATGGGCTGACATGTCTGATAATGAAATGCCAGCTCGGTGACAGTTCTAAAATGGAGGATAATTTAAGACAGCTGAGTGAGAAATCTCTCTCTGGTTCCAAACATGCCTTTGTCAAATGGACATAAAAGTCTTGTTCTTCTGGAACTTTTCACAGCAAAGTCATCACTCCTCTTCTCTGCCTTCTCTTCTGATTCACTTGCAACCAATTAAGGAGTGATCTCTGAGCTGGAATGACCTCCAGCGACAAGGTGTAATGGTACCCTTGCTTGAGCCGAAGCATCTGTCTCTTCACCCTGGCTATCCTTTATAAATACCTTCATAGAGCCCCGGCCCACTGCCACAATTTCGTGAGCATGGCATATTGAGATGGTGCGTGAAGGGAAAACCATCTGTCATTCGGAACCAGCATGGCTCCCTGCAGCTGCCTGTCAGCATCGCATGCCATTGCAGCCCCGTCACCCACATGGCTGAGCAGCAGGGAGCCTGTCTCCAGCCCAGGCTGCCGACAGCAGCCTGCAGGAGGTTCCACTCTTGCTCTTGCACAGCCTGTCAGCCCAATGACCCTTCCATCAGGTTTCCAGGCCCACATAAAAATTCTAGAGTCGGGGACTTGGGGTTGACGATTCTGGCGGTGAGTGTTGTCACTTAGAAGGAGCCTAGGAAAACCCCACAGAACCACCCAGAGAATGGCCAGCTCTCCCTGCCTGCCCTGTGCAAAAAGCTTCCACCCATCCTGCTATTTTTACCATCCTGTTTCTACCCTTGTCTGAGATTCGATGTAATATGGGTTTCTAACGTTGGGGTTCTCTCCCTCATTAGACTATTAGAGCTACAAGGGCTCCAAATGGACCAGCTACAGTTGCCATGATATCATGATGCAAGGCACAGAGCCACCCATAGTAGGTGCTCATAGAGGGTCTGTATGATAAACACTGATGGAGTGACAGATCTATCAACATAGCATGGGCTGCATAGGAGACTAAAGAAGCAGCATCTCCTGTGCGGAAGGTGGGGGGCAGAGACAGAGGAGAGCCCAAGCGAGTTTTTTTTTGGGGGGGGGCCCGGTCATGGGGCTTGAACTCTGGGCCTGGGCGCTGTCCCACAGCTCTTTACTTCAAGGATAGTGCTCTACCCACCTGGGTCACAGTGTCACTTCCAGCTTTTTTTTTTCTGCTTATGTGGTGCTGAGGAATCGAACCCAGAGCCTCATGCATGCAAGGCAAGCGCTCTACCACTGAGCCACCTTCCAGGCCCCCAAGCTAGTTTAATTCTAGCATGGATAGCTCTAGATGGGAAGCTGTATACATGCATAGTGGGAGGAATGCCCAGAGGTAAGTCTTCTCAATGGCAGGCAAAGTAATCGCACACCGAGTTTGCTAAAGCTGAGGGATCTCCACCTCTATTTCTAACTCATAAGGATGGGGACAAAGAGAAATCCCAGGTGCCTTCAGAGATCTGGCTGGAAAATAGCCAAAGGGAAAGGCTGGCCACTTTTTGGAACAAATGCATTGATGCTAATTCTGTGTGTGTGTGTGTGTGTGGTGTGTGTGTGTGTGTGTATTTGTGCCAATACTAGTGTGGGAACTCAGGCTGTCCCTTAGCTTGTTTTGCTTAAGGATGATACTCTACCACATGAAACACAGCTCTACTTCCAGCTTTTTGGTGTTTATTTGGAGATAAGAGTCTCATGGACTTTCCTGCCTGGCCTGGCTTTGAACCAGGATCCCCAGATCTCAGCTTTCTGAGTGGCCAGAATTACAGGCATGAGATACCAGCACCCAGCAGATGCTAACTCATTTTTTGACTGTTGAGAGAAATGCCTACATGCAAACAACACCTGCTGAAATAATGATACACGTTTTTCTTTTTTCATCTTCCTGGACAGCCCCACATCTGTGCTTCTTTTAGGCAGCAATATCCAAATGCTGTTCCTGCCATGCACATGGAGCTGGGCAGGGATGCAGGCTGTACTGACAATGGATGATGCAAATGACAGACAACTGACCCATCTTTAGATGGAACTGACAGCGTGCAGATCCCATGGTACTTACTGATTTTGCAAAGCTGAAGAAACTCTTGGTCTCTCCAGTTACCATGTTGGATGAGCCTGCCAAGGAAAGATTCCCAGATCAAGCAATTGCTAATGAAAACTCAGTATCTTCTCATTATCACACATGGGATGATGACAGTTGTTTGGTGCAGAATTGGTAGAAGCTTAAAAACAAGTTTAATTCAGCCTGGGGAAAAGGAGGGACTTAGAAATAGGGGATCAGAGGTTGATTATAATGCTAAAGTGTCCCTGAGCCAAAGGGGAAGTGACATTTCTCATGGTGACACTACAATTATTTTAGAAAACCAGGTGTGACAAAAAGTGATTTAGGTCAACATTTTAATATAATGACTATTTGCTGAAATGTCTCCTTGGGTCTGTTCTCTGTGCCTTGAGTATTGAAGTTGCATAGGAAGCTACTTTGAGGATCTGAATTTGATTGCTGGGTAAGCAAGAGTTTCATTCGTAGAAGCGGGCAGGGAAACTGAGGAGGGCAATATCGATGAACGGAAAGATGAGGCTCAGAATAAGGTAGATGAGGCAAAAAATACATTCAGAAGCCAAAGAAATGGCGTGACCACTGAGTCAGGTCCAAAGATCCTGGGCAGAAAGAAAAAAAAAAAACCACTCGAGACAAAGGGTATGAGAAAATGGGTTTCATCAGCTGGAATAAACAATATGCAGATGGAGATAGAGCTGGAGTTGGGAAAGAGTCTCTAAGATGCACAGAGAGAAAAGACGTCTTTGTGAGTTTTCTATGGTAGGTGTGGGGATGAAGAAAGCTTTAGCAACACGGGGAAAAACAATGCTGATGATTCACCAGTGACTTTCTAATGACTGTCACAATTTGCCCCCGAAAGAGTCAGGAGTAAATTCTTCTCAGAGAATAGTTATTTCATGAACAACAAAAGCCACAAAAGAAAACACGTGTTTTATACATGACTGTGTGGCCTGTGTAAGTTGTCATCAATTAGTTAATCACTGCTCTGATTTGGCAAATGACAATCATTAGCCAGCATCGGCTTCTATTCCTGAGTCACCAAGTAATCAATGCAGTGAATTAGATAATGGTGACATGAGCAAGTTGAAAGTGCACCCAAATGACGTCGTGGGGGGAAAAAATAGAAATCCCGGTAATTGGTCAGTAAGGACGAATCAATGGTCCATCCACATTTTGTTAGTCATATCCGACATCCAAACAATGTCCACTGACTTCTTAGGTTCTCTTTTCAATAATTAATGTGTCCAGTCTCCAGAAAAAGCACACGGTCAGGATAGAAGCAATCAGAACACCCCTAGCAATGAAATGGTTCCCAAGTGTGGTAAGCTCAACTTTTTTTGTTACAGTGATTTGATGATGACAAAAAAATCATATTTATAGCCATCAAAGATGTCTTTTATAAGCTCTACAGCTAATAGCAGAAGGATTTTCTTTCTCAGTTACTCAGAGTTAAGGCTCAATTTCCATTGTGCCTGTGGGGCAAGTGAGGTGCCAAGAATTTCAAATAGCAGATCGCTCCGGTATCATTTCACTGTAGAATATGACTGTGGCTTATCTGTGTCTTTTCTGACATTGTACAGGCTGATATGCAAATGAGCTGCCTGCCTAGGATGGTGGACAAGGAAGAGAAGAGGAAAAGAAAGGTTTCCTGCCTTGGTTTTGCTTGGAAAATTACTCCTACTTGTTTTCATAAATCTTTTGCACACTCAAGCGAATAGAAGCATGTGAGACAGACAGCTGAGCAGAGACAGGAATAGACATATGTGCAGAAATAGAAATAGACTGCTAATCCAGGGCTCACCTCTCCCTTGGGATAGATATTCAGGAGTAGATTAGAGAAAAGGGGTGGGTGGTGTCTGTGTTCTGCAACTTCACCACCTCTTGTATCCCATTCACTGGCCCCCATCTAGTGGCTTCCTTCAAAGCCATTAGTATTTTCCACCTTCCGGAGGTCAAGTCCCTTAACGGTTCTACTCATTCTCATTGACCACACTGATGTGGCCCTGCCTTCACCCAAACACAGACTGAAATTATCGATCTCCAGTCCTACACCCATTTCTGGTTTTGGAGCCAGGTGCCCCCTGTGACTCACCCTGCCCCTCTGTGCACACTCACCGTATAAAATGTAGGTCCCCAGGGGTTTCAGAAGACTGAGACCCTTGCCAGTGTTGTCCCCACACAGGCAGTCCAACACGACGTCCACGCCCTCAGCAGAGATCCTGAATGGAGGGAAGACAAAGCAAAATGCTGTCGGATGTCAGAAACCAAGGAGTACAGCCCTTTCCTTCCCTGTGTCCCATCACTTGACTTCCAGAATAGGAATGGTAGAGCTCCTGGAGAGGCCTTGGAGGGAGGTTTATCTCTGGAGTCCAGCTACACACACCCCTTGCCTTGCTTTACTATGTGGGTCCATCCCGAGAAGCCCATGGCAAACGGAAAATAGTTCTCGGACCCCACCTCGCCGCAGGTCAGCAGCACGGTGCACTGCAGCCATTAGCTCCTGATTTCTTAAGTGGAAAGCTGTGATTGGCCGAGGCTGCACAGCATCATGGGAGAAAAATCACACTGTACATCACTAACCCACAGGGTGGGATCGGGGTGAGAGACCCAAGTTCAAAAATAGAAGCACAGTTTCCACTGAGTGCCTACTGCTCCCAGGCCAACGTAAAGTCAAAATATCCTCCTGAGCCAGGAACTGGTTATATAAGGATGTCACAAGGCCGGGGACAGCCAAGCCTTTGTCTGACAGCAAGTACTGAGGAGGAGCGTGGGGAGAATGAACTCAGGCATTGAACTCAGAGGGCCTGAGTTTCTATCTCTCTGCCTCACTCAACTTCTCTGAGCTCTAACTCCTTCCTTGTCAAAGTGGTTCCTTGGTTTGTGGTAAGAATGAAATGAGGCAACAAACAAAACATTGGTCCCAGGCTTGGCACAGCAGTCATTCAGCACATTAGTTAACAGCTAAAGGCAGAGCTAAGAGATGGTTCGGGCTCTGTCCAAAGTGCTGAAAATGACTCATTGGTGGTGAAGGAGAAGAGAACTCAGTACTTCCTGCTCTTTACTGGCTGCTAGCCCAGTGGGGCAGGCCCAGCGAGATCTAACTTTCAGACTTCTCTTTGTACAACCTCTTGGGACAAACTAAAACTGAATGTTACGGTGAAGGAGTAAAGAGAGAGGCACTTCCTTCACTGATGGAAGAGTGTCATAGAGAGAATCCACTTTTGTACTCCACTGGAGAGACCGAACAATCATCGTCCTATTCATTTATCTACCCACTGATGGTCTCCCTCAATCCACTTGACAGACATTTGCTGCTTCTAGACGATATCGTGGAGGGACTGAAGAATGGGAGGCTTGGGAGATGGGAGGGAAGGAACTCAGCCCATGGAGATTCCCTGTTAAACAGTCTGTCCCTGTTGTGCTCAGACAGGAGTAGCATTTCCCAGTTCTGTCCATGTGTGAGATAATCTTGTCTTAGCAAAAACCTTCATTTTTCTAGCCCCATCTTTACCCCAGTGAAATTCAAGCACCACAGTGTATATCAAGATCTGGGAGCAAGATCCTATCTCAAAAATGAGCAGTAAAGAACACGGCTAGATGGTGGCCCAGCTGAAGTGGTGGAGCAGCAGGCGAACAAGTACAAAGCCCTGAGTTTACACCTCAATAGCACCCAGTTCCAGTCCATCAGCCACTACACCCATGGTGAAAAATCCTGAGAATCACCAGCCGAGCCAGCTGACCGAGTAGAGGTACTGGCCACCCTCCTGGCTCACTTCCCATATCTAGGAGTGTCTGACAATGCTGTCAATGCAGAACATAGAGAGGGTGAGGCCCAAGCACCGTGGTTTGGATGTCTGCTTTCCTTGCTGCCACGAATCTCCACCGATTTAGAAAGCAAACATGGATAGCCCCAGCTCTGGGCATAATTCAGCAGTGAGATATTTTGGAATTGCAGACCCAAGATCTTTGTGTGGCTTCTTCCTTTGTGCCCAGCTACTTCTGGCCGCTGTGGGATAAATCCTACCCTTGCTTCCCACCCGAACAGATCAAGGAAGAATGTGCTAGAGTAGAGATCCCCCAACAGTCCGTACTGAGAGACCTTCTTCCACCTTGCCAGGAAGTGAATTCCTCTTAGTAAAGTCCACTTAGACCCTTCACTCCCCTTGCTCTTTCCGAGTGTCCCTTTTTTACCTAAGGATTTGTCTGTCTCCTATATCTGCTCATCTCTGGCACACAGTAGGATTCTCACGACAATGACACACAGTAGGCTTCTTACTGAATACTTACTACTGATGGCTCCCGTGAGTACTCAGCCACGTCACTCCAGGAAATCTTTTCTAGATCTCTGTCTCCCTAGTCTCTCTAGGTGACTTGAGTCTCGTTCATTTCCCCTGGTAGTTTAGTAAGCACCCACTATCTTCTAGGCACTCGGGGTACAGAAGAGAAGGAGGTAGAGATGGTGCCTGGTTTTTGGAGCTCACACCCTCAGCCTCACCTTTGACCTAAGTCTGAGATTTGGGCATTTGAGTGAGTAGAATCCTCCCACAAAGAGCAGGGTGTTTCCCTGCAGGGGCTTGGTGGTAACCAGCCTGGCTCTGTCTAGTCTGTTTCTCCATCTTCTAGAACTGGTACACCATGGGCAAGTGCTTCTTGTGCCCCAGATCCATGCCCCATCTCCCCCGTTTCCTTGCTCTATTGCTGTGTTTATGGCATGTAAAGGACATCACCATCACTTCTGATGCCCCACCGCTGATCCCAGTACGAAGAAGTCTTGCTTGCAGTGTCATGGGTCACTGTGTCTCATGCTCTTTCAAACTCCCAGCGGCTCGGCCTTTTTTTGCCCTGATTTGCTGGTTCCCCTGACTGAGGTGTTCCTCTCCCACTCAGCCTGCACACTGTGGTTAGATCTATCTTGTTTTGTCATAGACTCTTCTTTCTCTCCGCTTCAGATCGGCATTGCTGACTCCATTACTGACATCATCCAATTTGAACTCCAGGTCGGGACTTCGAGGAGCCTTGTCAGGGGCTCTGTTTCTAGCTAAATGCATCTGGTCCAGCGTAATTGGACAGATTGGTGGGGTCCAGGGATATCTATCGACACAGGCACAGGAGATGTCATGAGCAGCTCAGGGTCACGGGCGTCTTCATTACCTCCCATGCCCGTCGTCCTGGAGCAGCTCTGCCAGTTCCAGGATTGGGACATACCAGGCTGCAGTGTGCACTGTCAGGTCTTGGGGGTTGGGTGGGCACTACTTCATAAACAAATGAGTGAGGACTAACACTGCTGCTAAGCTTTCTACAACTCATAGAATGGCCTCTAGAAGGCCTGATATAGACCATCATCAGGACACCCTCAGGACCAGGCTACACCTCGGCTCCCTTCTCTGAAAAAAAGGACAATGTCTTCTTTGTAAAATGAAGACAGGACCAGTGACTCAGGCCTGCAGTTCTAACCTCCTCATCTCAGGAAGCTGAGATCTTAGAACCATGGTTCAAAGCCAACCCAAGCAGGAAAGCCCACAAAATTTTTTTTTAAATCTCCAATTAACCAGCAAAAAGCCACAAGCAGAGGTGTGGTTCAAGCACTAGAGCGCTAGTTTTGAATAGAAAAGTTAAGGGACAGTATCCAGACCCTGAGTTCAAGCCCCAATATTTGTAAGGCCCAAAATTGGGCTCCCCTGTATCATCTGGGCTTCTGTTTGATGTTGCTTGCCTGGAACCCCAGGTGCCCAGTACCTCCCTCTTGAGGGTGAACCCCACTATCTTGCTCATTGAGCTGTCTCTACAACTTTGGATTTCCGAACACGGGTATCTGTGTTTCAGGCTCATTGATGCGTCTGTGTGGTAAATAAAGAAATATCAATGATACTTGAATGAATGAATGACCAAGATCTCACATCATGCTGTGCACCACTTACCACCAGCTGAAATTTCAAATACATGCTTTGCAAACACAGCTGTAGATGCAATAAGCTACACAAATGTTAAGTGTGCAATCCAGTGAGTTGTGACATTGGTTTGCCCCTGTGAAAACATCACCATCATCCAGGTATGGGAGGTATCCTTGCAGCTCAGTAAGTAACCAAAATAGGGATTGGCAGGGAATTCATAAACTCATCTCAGTGGTACAATCGGGTTCTAAGTCTCAGTTTCAGCATCTGTGAAATGAGGATTTTTTTTTCTTTTCACTCAGAACTGTGAGTTGCACATATCATAGTCTCAGCAAGTTTTTGACAAAGAAGGAGGAGGCCAACATCTTACCTGCCTTGCCAATCTCAGCTCCCCTTGCGGAGACACTTTGCCCAGCAGTAACACCTTCCTTATCTCTCTAGTGCCCCCTAGGGGTTTGTTTGCTGTGACCTTCTCTCTGATCTCCTATTTCTCAAGTCCTATTTGTAGTCAGGTGTGCAGGACTTGATGTTGCTAACTCTCTTGTTATCTCATTATCTGTTTTCTCTCAAAGAGATGGACAGTGTCTGGATGTAAAGGTTAAGTCTGCATTGTTGTAAATATTATTTCTCTGTTCCTCTTGGCTCCAAGCCAAGCGTGCATTCAAAGGACGATTAAGGATCAATTGGTTTATAAGAGAGTTTTCATCTCAGTAAGGTTTATTTCATTATCTTCTTGTTTGCTGTACGTGGAGCTATGTCTGTAATCCAAAGGCAAACAGAAATTGCTCTGCATAACATGCTGATTGCATGTTAGCACGTGGATATTTTGCTTTGGCTTTATGTCCGTATGCACTGAGAATTTGCACAAAGCTGTCATTGCAATGGGATGGAAACTGGCATTCTACCTGTATCCCCCTTACTATGGTAAATTCTTTTAAAAGAAATTTCCACACTGTCTTTCTAATGATCATTTTTAGGGGCTGCATAATATTTTAGCATGTGGGGGCAGCATGTTCGATCACAGTTTCTTCTCTGTCGGTGATGGCTGCTGGCTGCTGGAACTTCCACTTAGGGGCCAGGCTGCAATTCACTGTCGACATACGCTGAGCACTGATGACACAGAAATATGACACAGGCACAGAGCGTGGCTCTGCGACAGACAGCTTGGTACCTGCAGCTTAAATCTGGGCTGTTTCCTAAGGGGAGGATTCTTGGGTAGACGCTAAAATCATGCTCACAGCATCCTGGTCATTTGTAGTCGAATCCTAGCCTCTCTACTGAAAACCTCAAGGAGCCATGGGAAGTCACATTTGAGGGAAGGTACCAGGGGAGGTGGGTTCAGACGTCGCTGCTGTCTGCTTTCCAGACAGCGGTAATCCAGGGGTGAGCAGGCAGGCCAAGGCTGGCCAGGGGCTGAGGGGAAAAGGAAGTGGAGGAGGCAGGAGGAAGACATCACTTTTACAGAAGAGCAGCCATCTACTGATATCCTGACCCTCTTCCTCACATCTTCCTGCCTCCAGCTTGCCTGACCTCCTTTCAGTGTGCTGAATTGGCCCCCAGAGCCTTGGCACACGTCATTTCCTTAGTCCAAAGTACTCTTTGCATTGGGTAAACACACCCTTCAACATTACGCTCAAAGCATCGTCTGGTTGGTGAGAGCATGCCTTTCTCCACCAGAGCACATATCAAAAGAGCCAATCAATTCATGCTCTGCACTACACGGTTGTTTTTTATAAATTGTAAGCTCCATGCACAGGAGCTGGAGTGAAGACCCTTCCTAGAGCACCCTGCTTCTAGCTCTGTTCTTCCTGTGGTAACCATAGCCTGTGCCTCACTCTTCAGAAGAGTACTCTGTGTAGAGTAAGCATGTGAGCATCTAAGTCAGAATGCCTGGTTCACACCTAGGCTCCTCCATGTGCTATCTGCACACAGCAAGATGAAGCTGTCCCCAAGACTGCTTCTAGTAAGGTGGCCAAGGGCCTGAGCACAAGCAATCACATTTGAGCACAATGTGTGTGTATTCATTCTGGGACTAACACATAAAATCCTCCCATTCCTGACCTTCCAGCCAACCACAAGCAAAAGACCCTAAGACCCTAGACAAGAGTGGAACCGGAATTCGTCAAGAGCTTGGTGGGTCCCTGAATTTCCTTACAGAAGATTATCCAACTTGAGCTGCTTACAAGTGGATGGGAAAGAAAGGTCTAGAGGTTAAGACTAGCAATAGCTAACAAAACTTCCACATATTCACTCTGTAAGTTACTTAATTACTTAATTGCTTGGTTCTGTGGGGATGACAACAGATGTTTATCATTATTGCTACTGTTAGCCTTGATTTATTTATTTATTCCTTCATTTTTATTTGCTGGTCCTGGGGCTTCACCTCAGGGAGCTATCCCTGAGCTTTTGTGCTCAAGGTTGGCACTCTAGTACTTGAGCCACAGCTCCACTTCTGGCTGTTTTGTGGTTCCTGGGAGATAAGAATCTCACAGACTTTCAAACCCAGGCTGACTTCAAAACACAGATCCTCAGATCTCAACCTCCTGAGTAGCTAGGATGACAGGTGTGAGCCAATGGTACGCTGGCTGTTAGCCATCTTTTAAACACATGCTATGATTGGTTGAGAGAAGAGAAAGGGTCGGCCTGGTGCTGACCGGAACGAACACCTTACTTTTTCACTTCTTGCACGTAGTCTGCATTCCTGTCAAACAGGTGAGTCACGGAGTCTTTGATTGCTTCGTGCTTGAAAGTAGAAGCGGTCCCAAAGACAGTCACATTGGGGACAGTGGAGCACAGCTGAGCCACAGCTTGACCCTGCAGATGACATAAACAGGTGAGTCACACCCAAGAGCCAGTAAGTTAAATGAGGTGTCAGCTGACCCAAGTCAATGGTCTGAGACAGAATGCGCATTTCACAGACCCTCAATAAATCTCCATTATCTCACACACTACCAGTCCTGTTGGAGGCAGGCTGCATCTTCCACTCTAGCACTATGAACATGTGTCGGATTGGGTCAGTCTTGGTGGTGTATCGATTGTGCATTACAGAATGCTCAGCACTCTTCCCAGCTTCTGCTACACACCAACAGCAGCTTCATTTTTCTGACTGTAACAGCCAAAAATGTGTACACACGTTGCAGCATCACAACAAAACCTGTCTCAGGTAAAAGCCGCTGGTGCCGAGAAAACTCACCAGAAATCAAACAACCTCAGCAAGAGACTGAACTATTTTTATGTGTGCCCTCCTGGGACTTGGACTCAGGGCCTTGCACTTGCTAAGCAATGTTCCACCACTTGAGCCACACCCTCAGCCCTTCTGCTTTCATTTTTCTGAGATAGGATCTTCCTGAATTTGCCCAGGCTGGCCTTGAACTGTTAATCCTCCTGCCTCAGCCTCCCAAGTTAGCTGGTATTACTGATGTGTACCACCAGACCCTGTCCCAGAAAATAGCATGGTATTAAGACCAAAGAAGAAGGTAACAAATAAAGGTTATCAAGCCCACACCCCCCATGGGCAACTGGAGCTTACTTCTTCTGAGGACTTCTATGAGAAGGTGCAGCTACACCTCAGGGTTATTCCAACCAAGAGATGACAAAGCTGCAGTATTTATCCAACTATCCCCACCCTGGGGTTGGTGAAGGGCTACAGTAACCCTTGCACACATCTGGCTTATTCCACTAGGCCTAGGATGTTCTGTGCAGAACCTCAAAGCAAGCAGCCTTCAGCATACCCAGCAGCCCTCTGTATAAGTCAAGGACCTGGTACAAAAATGTGATACTCAACAGGGACTTGATAAATCTTCATTATCTTTCCCCTTAGGAGCTTATTATCTCCGGGGCTGAATGAAGGTGCTCTGGCATATAAAAAAAATCAGTAAGAGGTCTTAAATATGAAATGGTCTAGGGGGAAATTACAAGTGCCGTTTTCCATACCCTCTTCCAATATGGTGGAAATTCAGGATACTGGATGTAATACTGCGGCCACATGTGTTCTTAAATCTTCCAGTAAAAACCATGCTGTTTTTAATGAAGATGTGTTCCAAAACCACCATCTCTTTCCAGCATTTCATTTGGGGAAATTATCCTACCAAAGCCATCTGCCATGTGCATTTCTGCCTCTCCTCTTATTTTCATGTCTTCAATATGGTGGATAATTCCGGTTGGCAGGTCAATTTATGGAAATGCTATCTTATTATGGATTGCAATTAGAGGCAAGCTGGAGGGACTCACAGGATGTCACAGGTGGAAGACTGTCCTGTGCATCTCCCCATTGATTTATAGATGACAGAGAGGACACCCAGAAAAGGCAAGAAGCCCGCCCGCAGGTTTTCAAAGGAGAACTCTGATTTGAGCCAGTGCCATTTTCTATTATTTTGTGCTGCCAACTTACTTGGACATTTCAGCTAAGTAGACTTTCATGTCGTAAATAGACATGTCACTGGCACGGTCCCTTGGGGGCCAACACACAGATGTGAACCTAAGACCGGACAGGCGATGGGTTTCTGTGCTAAGAATAGTTTTGATGTTTGTTTAAGTTTTTTATCCCAGATTTTGTAGAACAAAGAGGAGTCTATCCTTCTTAGTGAGTGTAAATCCCAGTAACTGATGTAGTAAATCCTTAAAACTCATTGGCCTTACATACATTAATGAATGTAGCTGCATAATTGCAGGGCTTGAGCTAACTTTGTTAGTACTGGGGCAGGAAATTAGAAATTAGTTCTAATATCCTGTGGTCTCCTTTCTGTTGTCGGTCCTCAGGCAAACAGGACAATTCTTCATTCTCCTCTATAAGTGTATGTAAGTCTATAAGATGTGCTATAAGATGACAATGTTGGAGGCGACTGCTATGCCCTTATTACTACGTCCCATGTCTTCACATATGGCTGCCATTTTGGCATGTAACTCTACCTGGCTGTCCCCAAAACAACACAGAAACTCAACAGATCCAAAACAAGGTTCACAATCATCTCCAAATAAGCTGTTCTCTGAATGCATTTGCTAGAGTGCCACAGCTAGGTTGCTTTAACATAGAAACCTCTTCTCCCATGTGGGAACTCTAAGATCAAACTAAGGTATAGGCAGGGTTAGTTTGTTCTACAGGGAGAGAGGGAAAAACCTGTCCAGAGCCTCTTTCCTTGGTTTGGAGGTATCTACCTTTCTCCTTTCATCTCTTCTCTATAACAGTTCCTTGTCCAAATTTTGTGCTCTTATGAGGATACCAGTACTTTTGGTTTAGGGTTCATTTCTGTGTGACACTTCACTAATGTCTTTCCATTTCATCTATGTCGCTGCCGATGGTAGAATTTCATTCTTTTTTTTTTTTTCTTCCTGGCCAGCCCTGGGGCTTGAACTCTGGGCCTGTACACTGTCCCTGAGCTTCTTTGGATCAACGCTAGGGTTCTACCAACTGAGTCACAGCACCACTTCTGGCTGAGTAGTTTATCACAGACTTTCCTGCCCAGGCTAGCTTCAAACTTCAATCCTTAGATCTCAGCTTCCTGTGCAGCTAGGATTATAAGCATGAGCCATCAGTGCCCAGTTATATTTCGTTCTTTTTATAGCTGGATGTTTTTCTGCTTATGTGGTGCTGAGGAATTGAACCCAGGGCCTCATTGCATGCAAGGCAAGCACTCTACCACTGAGCCACCTTCCCAGCCTATTTTTCCATTTTGTATATGTAACACTTTTTAAAATGGATTCATCCATTGATAGGCATCTAGGTTGAGTCTACAGCTCAGACACTGTGAATGCCATCCTAATAGGAGGAGAGATGGGACTTCAATATATTGATTTCAATCCTTTTAATGGAGCTGCTGGATCATATGGCAATTCTATGTCTAGTTTTTGTGCCTTTTTTTTTGAGAAGCCGCTCTACTATTTTCATAAGTGCTATACTAATTTACATTCCCATCAACAGTATAAGAGAACTTCCCTTGCTCCACTGAAGCATAGATTTCATTAGCAAATGCCACCTCTCACAGAGGCGGAACTTGACCATTTCCATTTTAAAGAGGGAAATACTCACGGGAAAGAGCGAGAGAGGGAGGGAGAGGGAGAGAGAGGCTCTAGGTATCTGGGTTGCTAACATACAGTCATGTACCACTTAATGGTAGGGATACATTCTGAGAAGCGCTTCGTTTGGTGACTTCATCACTGTGTAGCATTATTGTGTGCACCTGCAAACCTGGGGGCAGAGACTAATCACCTGACTCAGCCTATCACGAGATTGAGAGGCCACTCCCTGGGTACCACAGCATACTGTTTTACAGTAGGGTTTATTCCCATGGATAACACAGTCACTTGTTATCCTGTTCTGTACTTTTCTATGGCTCACAAAGTTGGTTTATACAGGACTCACCACAGAAATATAAGCAATGGGTGATGATACCATGATGTTTCAATGGTTACAATGTCATTAGGTGGTTCAGATTTGTTTTTGGCTCTGTTATTTATCTCATGGAGCCAACTTATGTGCCTGTTGTTAACTGAAATAAGCAAATGTGCCTCTAAATTATTTCATATAGCATATGCTATATTTCTCATATGGCATATAAGTATCACATAAATATATATGTAGAGCATGTATTATATGATCGCATAAAACCAGAATCACATACAATTTGTGTATGTTAGTATCATGTGCACATACAATTAGTATTTATTACATATAAATTATAAATTAATAATACAATTATAAATGTGGTATATAATATATAATTATTATAAATCATTTTAGTTATAATTTATATTGTTACAAATTACACAGTAATATGGCATTATGACTACTTATACTATGTAATTATTAATATACGAATATATAATTACCAGCTAATTATATATTCAATTAATATATGGTATGTAGTATTTAATTAATAATAGACAATTAGGACTATAGTGATGATATAACTCATGCCAACACAAACTCAGAATACATCTATCTGCAGCCTTCCAGCACAGGCAGTAGGAGCCCTCAGTGAGTTTTCTTAATAGTAAATAATGCTCGGTATTTAAAGGGCTTTCCTTGCAGTTTTAGAAAATCTGTACCCTTTTGCCACTTCCAGCTGTTTACTCTCATTTCTCCTTCTTGCCTAGTAAATACCATGCACTCGATAACTACTTGGGGAAGATGGAATGAACGTTCAGTAAAAAGTATTTCGCAACGAACCTGCAGACCCAGGACATGAAATGAACAAGGCCATCCCTTCGCCCAAGGCTGCAGCACAGGGGGAGAGAGGTGTGCTGGTTTTCATTGCCTTCCCTTCCCTCTGAGTGAGCTTCCGCACGAAGGCCCCATTCTCTTCTCAATGGCTGAGAGGACACTGGAAAAGGAGCTGTGTGTCTTTCATCCCACGATGAGTAAGGCACAATGCTAAATGGCACCACAAGTCCTCAACACACCTTTTCAGTCATATTTTAGCTGCCCATGTATCCCCATTTATAATGGGGATGGTGAAAACAAAAAAGGGCTTTTAAAAGCCAGTGTCCCTGACTCTAAAGTCACACTCCGATGGTCCTCCTATCTGTCCCTCTGAGCACTCAGGCTGTTGAGCTGGGAACCAGCGTGGTAGGGAAATGCAGGCGTCCCCAGACTCGGTGTGAAAGGCTTCATGATAATATCTTTGGGGAGATTTACAGCCACATTTCTATGAGCCCGATCTATGTTCTGGGGCTTGGAGAACCAGACCAGAGACCTCAGGAAACCTGGGGAGAGTTGTTACAGCTACTCTGGGTCCTTATATAACTCTTAATGACAGACAAGCAGTTTCAAGTAAGATCTACTTACAGAAGAGCCAAGCATGGTAGACAAATGGTTA